TACTATTCCCTTTCTCTTCAGGGCAACTCGGATGAGAGATAAATCAAACCTAATCGACTCCGAACTTGGTAACCAACACTATTGCAATTCGATTATGACGCGGTCAAGGATTTCGTCGAGCAAAATGAATAAGCAGATCAAATTACGATTTTTGACGAAAACCCTCAAGCAGCACTGTAATGATGAAAATATAAGTGAAATGAGATAAAAATAAATAATTCCTTTTTTGAAAGGCCTTTCGAACAATCCAGGCAAGGTCTGCAAAAAAAAATTACCCTTGTATTCTTAGCCTCAACTGTTCGCTCCTTCCTTGAACCCCAATATGTGTAGTTTTGCGCGTTCTTCTGCCCGCGAGCCTGGGTGCTTCGTAGGGTCACTCACTAGCAACTTGCAGAATTTTTGTCTGATTCCCCACTTTTTTACCGTAACCCGTTTGTGTAAGTTACGACCTACCCTCAACATATTGGCAAGATGTTGAACTGACCATGGCACTTGACCGGACGGCCTCGATCTGTTCAATTTGTTTTCGCCAAGCATGATAAGGCGGACGGACTCAAAGGAGGCTGTCCGGGCAAAAAGTCGATTTTGAGATTTTGTGCCTGCTCGGGCATATTCGCTATACTGAATATAAAAAAACACACACGAGAGCACAAAAACGGCGAAAAGGGGTTTAACGCTGAATGGTAATCAGAAGATTTTCCCCCACCCTGAAATCACTCCCAGCTTTTGGAGATATCTTCTCGCTTCCTATTCCAAGTTACGCATTAGGATTTGGCCGGTGGCGAAATCAGGGCGGCTAACGGACTCGAGAAGATCGCTCTGGAAACTGGAAGCGCAGATTCACATTGGAAAGATTTCGCACACTTGCTGGTTCCCCTACTGCATTTTTGATTGTTTTTGCGCTTCCCAGTGCAGATTTTCGGATTCAGCGAATGGGCCTGGGTAAGCACAAAATCTCAAAATCGACTTTTTACCCGGACACTGCCTTTAAGTTTGATTTACGAAGTTCTTCTGCGAATGCCAACTCAGTTTAACTGAAGTGAATGAAGTTACTACGGGGCAGAAAGACAGACCACAGACAAATAGACAAGAGGACACCCAGACAGATGGATAACAAGCTAACAAACGAATAATCAAACTATATGTAAAAAGAGTAGCCCACAACTTCAGACGACGAACATCGTGGGGTTATTCATAAAAACACAGAGAAAAAGCAGAAGAAGCGATGAAATTACTAATAACTACATTGAATCAGCGCACATCTATTTGGTCAGCGGGTGCAGCAGTATATAGTAATCACACACTATATACTGCTACACCCAAAAAAATAACTCTGGTAGTGAGAAATGTTAATGTTGTCGATGTTTAGCTTGTGTGTGATCGCGGGTAGGGTACATATGAAACGAAAAGAAGTTTACTTGAGTGCTGAGCTCCACTTTCTGAGTATGATTTAAATGCAGCAAAATATCTCCTGATATATTAATTATATGTATAAAATATTTAAATTACAAGTTATCGTGTGCAGCGTCCTGTACACATTGATCGTTTGATAGACTAACTGGCCTTCATAGTCTTTTATCATTGAGGTCACATTCTCAGGGCATGCTGTTCTCACTAGAAAACTGTTCACTTTTTCTCTCGGAACAATCTTCCGAGAGAAAAAGTGCAAAAGCAGTTTTACATGCATCCTAAGGCTATTGCTTCATTTTTTTGTCGTTTTTCAAGCTAAAAGTCAATTCACCAAAGCAAAATTTCGGCTCCTGTAAGAAAATGCAGAAAATCAATAGCATATTTGAAGAGAGCGCCTCAGAAAACCCCTAAATCTATATTTTCATCGAGTTTGAGCAGATATTGTTGTTGAACATCAATTTTGTGATTCTGTTGAATTCCCGGTTTCGTCATTGATGGATGCATCGCGAAAGAGTCGATGGATGGGGGCGGGGCTTACAATACACACAGGCTAGGCTCTGTACACTATGCTAATTGCGTATCTGATTGTTCAAAAAACCTGAGGTACGCTGCGGCAAGTCTTTCGGGTAGGTAAGTTCCTTTTGACATGGGGAAGTGCCCGTTGACACAGTAGGTCGGATTATACAAAACATTCTAATTTCTGCTTACTGTAAATAACTAAGTGTGCTTATTCATTGCACTCACTGAAAAAGCTACTGTGACAGAAATCTAAAATTGTGAAATCTGACCGCCTACAGTGTCCAAACGGTACTGCTATATCTTTTGATTCAACTGGCTTGGCGGCTGAAAGGCGGGGCTTCGTGATCTATTCAAGGCTATATGATGATCAGAGAGTGCGCGCGCGAGAGAGACGTACACTGCATTGCGGATGCGAGCAGCCTTACTTAAGTCCGTAGCCCCGCTTCCAGTCGCAAAGCCACCCGGATCGAAAGTAACACTAAGAGATGAGCCTCACCGAGCTAAGTTGAACGGTGCCCTTTGAATCGTCACTCTGGACCAAAGTATGGCGACGCAAAGCGGATTACTGCGAACTCCGGTGGGGTTCGGCGACTTTTCTGACTAATCATAGGTGGTTGTAGAATTACAAGCGTCACATCCCAAAGTTTAACATGCTCGACGTGCAGCCTATGCTGATGGCTGACTTTGTTCAAAATTTCAATGATTGCTCGCCAAATTTCGCTAAGGGGCGTGAGTTAGCTACTAAGCCCCCCCCCCCCACGCACACACACAAACGGGTCTCAAAAATGTAGTGCTTTGAAAACGTGATTAGACTCTTTCGCTCACAAATGATCTAGACAATTTCTAATTGGACTTGTAAAAAAGGACAGAGCGTGGCTGTTGCGACTATTTCCGTCATGCTGGGCATACGGTTGGGTCAAATGAAAATCTGTGCATAACTTTGCCTGTACGGTTCTTTGGCATGCTGACTTGACCCTCCTGCGAGCCACGGCAGGTGTATCTGGATCCTAAAACTGTGAAGGAAGGGCGAGGGGCTTCAACATGCTGGTTAAAAAATCGCGCTCTTTTCCCATGAAAAGATTTTTGTATGTGATTGACTTTGCAGACCCGAACTTTTTTGGAAAGGCGAAGCTTATTCATCTATACCTCGTAACTAATCAAAACTTCAAAGCGTTATTGTAGCAAACAAGCACGGCTTCAACAGTCAGCACGAAAAAAGTCTTGTGGCCGTATTCATCAACGAACCCTGAGGGTTAAATTTACCCCAGGGTTAGTTTAATCCTCAGAGTTCATTGGCCGTATTCATCAACCATAGGGAAGGGTTTGCCACCGAACGCAATCCACCCGTATCGATCAACGAACCTGTGGCCGTATTCATCAACGAACCCTATGGTTGATGAATGCGGCCAATGAACCCTGAGGGTTAAACTAACCCTGGAGGGTTAAGGCGTCAGTTACGCGTGCGCTGTGCGAACTCACATCACAGAATGCCTAAGTACGGGCTAAATTCACTTTATTCCTCTATTCTTTCACTGTTATAGTAGTGTAGTCAACAAATAAGCTTCTAACATTAGTTTTTGTAATACATCTCTAACATATTTGTGCAGCATCCAAGCTTACAGCGTGAGTTTATTTTCATGTGTGCAAGTGTGCAGTGTAAGTTCTACTTTTGCGCAGTTCGTTTTATAACGGGCTTGTGCTACTCTTTTAGAGGTCAATGCGTTTTATTATAAAGGGGTTCATCTGTTTTGGCACTTGTTAAAGTGGAATGCGCAATTTTTTCCTCGTAGCATTCATTCGTCACCAAAGCTAGAATTCTTTTTCTCGCAAACTCAGTGTTTCATGTACTTCGAATTTGAACATAAAACGAAGTCGAAACTAAATACTATAACAACAATCCAATACTGAATACTACAACACTCGTCGTTTTTGATAAAACTATTAGATGCGAGTAAATGTTTCTATGAAGTGTCAGGGTAGAGTTAACCTTGCTCTAAGCTAGGCTTAAATTAACATAGATGATTACGTAAGTTGTACCCTCCAGGATTAGTTTAACCCTCAGGATTCGTTGATGAATACGGGTTAATCGCTTTCGGGGTAAGGTTTACCCTCAAGGGTAGATTTATCCCTCAGGGTTAAAGGCAGTGGATCGGTAAAATCAAACAACTCGGGATTTTAACGCGATAAGTTCCTTATCGCCCAGTTATGAAAACAGTGCATCCCGGTTGGACAGCATGCTTTCCCTATCGAGAAAATCGCTCTCAAACTTACACGCACAGGCCAATCTTGCACGCGTCTGGACGAGTTGGCAATTTCTTTTTCACCATTGGAGGCTGCCCGCCGCAACGCTATAACCATTGGGTCCTGCCACGATTTAGCGTCATCGGCCTTGTTCCACTCGTCCAATATCAAAGAAAAGGGCATTAAAAAAGGCTCATTTTCGCCTTTTTCAAACTTTCAGAAGTAGATTTTCGGGATCAGCGTATTGAAAAACCCCAGGTAGGCGCAAATTTGGCTAGGTTGAGATTTGCCGAGCCACTGCCTTTAAGCCTAACCTGTGTTTCATGAATACGGGTTAATTGCTCTCCAGGGTTAAACTAACCCTCCAGTGTTAGTTTAACCCTCAGGGTTCGTCGATGAATACGGCCACTGGACAAGATTCTAAGCAATTTTGACCCAATCGTATACTGACTATGACCCATGGCGCCACCGTGCGCAAATCCCCTCCCCACAAACGAGGTGTGGCACCTCCGGACCTTTTACGGATCCAACCGTAACCTTTGCTAGGGCTGCTGTGTGGAATAAATGCGCTAAACGTGAGCAGGGTGCTAAGTTATCCCCTTCAACAAAGTTTCACATATATTTTTCAGACAGAGATAGTATCATTTTATCTTATAAACTCAACAAAAAATGAATTGAAGTAGCAGCGCAATAACTGCGGCCACATTTTTTCTTCTCAAAATTGGTGATTACAAACTCGAAACAAATTCGACATCTTAGTTCATTTGCCAGCTCGATATTTGGAGGAAATCTACACAATTTCTTTTGAAGGCGTTATTGGTACATACATATTATGCCAACAACGTACCGGCACTGATGTTAGCTTCAGCTTCCGTGGAGATTGCAGCAGAACCCTTCTTCTTCACAGAGTTAAATTCCAGTTCCCATTTATCAAACTGTATCGTAAACGTATCAAACGAAAAGCTGGTCTCAAAAGTCTATTTTCGCACCTGTCTTGCGAGCTTACGTAGCTTTGCCTCTAGCTTAATTCTATGGCTGAGCCATTCTTCCAGTAGTGCTTTAGATTTGTCGCATTGTTCCAAGTAAGCGAGAAGTCTTTCGATCATGTTACTCTCCTGGAATAAAGCTCTGATTATTCATACAGCAATAATCATAGACCGTGCATTTCCACGCAAGGACGCGAAGAAAGGAGGATGAAGCCAACATCAGAGCCGCCAATACTTCTGATTCTCAGCTACGATTATTCGCAATCATTCTATGCGATTTCTTTTAATTCTAGCGCTCTCTGCAGCTTACATGTGATCAGGCGATCAAATGCTTGCGTCAGCGAAAAAATCAACATCCTTGCAGCAAAGAAAACTCGTAGTTTAACGCTGACAGATCGGCAGGCATGGTCAATCTCCGATAGAACAAACCACTCATATCTCGCTCATTACATCCGCTTTTGCGCAATTTTCATAATATCGGCTCTGGTGTGTTAACATGTACCCTAACTTGGCAAAACGTACAACGTTTCAGAAAGTTTTGTAGATTCTTCCATCTTTAATGAACACGGAAACTACAAAATAGAAACTGTTTTGAGAAGAGAGAGTTCGCTAGCTGACACGGCTTCGAGTTCTCTCTTTGTACGGTAAAATACGAGATCTGAAAACGGTAAACTCGCAAGGAGAGTCCCAATTTGTTTCATATTTCACAAATAAATTTACCCTTTACCAAAACATCAGGATGCAAAACCTGACGAAAAATAACTTGGATTTTCCGTCTTAGCAAGATGCACACCCTTACAGAGATTCCATTTCCAAGCCCGAGAGAACAATCTGTTTCTTACTTGGAAATCTCTGCGTAATTCTACTTGGTAATGGACATTTCCGAATCGAATATGAGTTGGACAGCGGGTTTCAAAAGATCTTTTTTTAAATCTGAACTGGTGAGAAAGGCCTATGAGAAAAGGTCGATAACGATAGCAGCAGAGATAATATACACTTACATCTCCTCCATATACCCATTACATTGCAAATTTGAAAAAAAAGGAAATGCAGAGGGATGAAAATTGGATGGTGCCGTCAAATGAGCGATTGAGGATGACCAGCTCTTACTCGGAATCGGATGATGAAACACGCTTTCGAAATGCTTCTACCGTAACCCGCGTGACTGTGCAACCCTTGTGACACATGCACTTCTGCAACAAAACACTGGTCATATGGAAATTTTGTTAACGTAATCTTACGGATATTCTCTCTGAATGAGGTGGCTTTACCGTATCGTGACTCATTAGAACTTGGCTCTCGGAAAGCCTAGCCAAAAAAGGCAAGGAACAGAAATTACTTTAATGAAACAAATCGAAAGTTAGGATATAATTGCCAGAAAACGGCGGTTTGCTGATGTTTGTCACAAATTATTAGTCAAATTTAATTCGAAGTTGCACCTGTTGGCACCTTACCTTTGAGTAACCAAAATTTCAGAATTCAGACATGATAGTCGTTCCGCTTTCGTGGGATTCTCGTTGCTTTGACAATGGACCAAATTTCTAAATCAAAACTCTATGTAGGGTAGACGCTTACCATATCTGACCTTACGATACTCTTTCTTTTTCAGATACGGTAAAATAAATTATTAACCAAAGCGACCTACAGCAAGGCGTTAACGCAACACGAGGATATGATATTCGTGATCAACATGCCGCATAATCGTTTACGCGAACTTCAGTCAGTCCTGAGGTTTTCCACCTCCTCAAATTAATCGTAATCTCGCTGACCAGAACATACGGTTACTATTACATTGGCAGTCTGCATTCAGACTTCGTGCAGACCCTACCAAGATCCAGTATTCTGGAATTTCGGGTCAACTGTAGTGGATTTGTACCGCTCGACTGTGAAGCTATAGAGTAATGGCTGTGCCTTCCAGACAAGATGAGCATATTGCTTGGCCGTGGATTCGAGCTGCGATCTACACCATAACCTGCCCCTCAAAATGTAATTCAAATCTGCTCCCATGTGAACGAATTTTAAAGAGTAAAAACGTATTTCGAATCTGTATATGTGTGCCGTAACCAACAACTTAAACTGCGTATTTGCGAAATGATCGTATGTGTAAGGCCACATTGTAATGAGATAAAGATCTGTATTGTACTCCTTCACACTTTGAAGGTGGTTGTGAAGTGATCATGACGTTGCAACAACACTACAGATGGAAGACAGTATGTTCTAGAGATATACTTCATAAGTATTCTCTTCAAATCGCTATAGCAACAAGAAGATTTATTCCAGGATGTTGGCTCCTGCTTCTCCTTTCCCAACTACTCGGGAAAAAACGCGGACCAGTTTCGCAGTGAAAGAATCAGCGAAAATGGAAAAACCTGTGACTAATTTGCTATCAGCGCACGACCTCCTTAGCTGTAGAAACGATACATCCTCTGTCGCTTGGATAGGGGAGTCTGAACGAAGCTAGAAGAACTTGACCTAGTCGAGACCGATTTTTTTGTGTGATATCGCCAATATCCTGGTGTGGTACTAGAAGCTTGCTAGTAACCTTTTTAACAATCCTATTGTCCAGAAATAACAGATTTGTTCAAGAAAATGTTCAACACTTTGTATCAGAGATGGTTTTGTAAATAGTAGGGAGCACAACAATACCTTTAAAACGATCCTTGATAGGAAATTATAGATCTTTTTTCAAGATCATCGATTACCTACTTATGGAGAGGAAAAAGTTACCGAAATACCAAAAGTTACTGGGATAATAAGCGCAATACTCAGTTTCCATTCTGTTAGTTATACTGCCCAAAATGTCCTTGTACTAGGCTGCTGCATAAGTTCTGTCCGATTTCTTTGCCTTGTATTTGAAGCAGCTGTTTTGAGAGATCTTCACTCATTTTACGGTTGAAAATCTCTTAGGACAGCTGCTTCATACAGCTCATTTAATGCATTTTAATCATACCATCAGAAAATTTTCTTGCTTTTTTCAATGCTTATAATATCTAATCTATAGTGAGTGGTGATCTCAATTCAAAAATCTGCAAATAGCGGGAAACCGCGTGGCGGTCCCGAAACGAACGCTCTTCCAAGTAGCACTTTTAGATCACTGGTTCACTAGTTTTTAGATGAAATTAGTCAGACGAGATTGCAGACCTATGATCCACAAAGTCGAGACACGATTTCAGCCAAGAAAATTTTTTTGGACAAGGCTCTGTGTCGCGGCTCCGCGATGCAGAGCGGAGGTCTACTCTATCGCTACGAGGAAGTGGCGTACTGCCTTTGGTGCATTGCACCACTGCGATAAACTTTGATACTCTACGATTCTGCTTTATGAATTCTCATGATACATCTAGGTTGAAACTCAAAAATGCGCACACATAATCTTTTCCGGTCTTGAAATGTTGGTATTTGGTGCGAATACTTTTTCCATGTATCTAAACATTAAGTTCGAGAATTGGCTATGTGGCTTCTCCAAACAAATGAA